TAATCTTGAATATCTAATTGGAGATGATATGATCATCAAGTTTTTCAAAAAACATGAGCAAGAGGTATTTGTATATAATAATCTTGGATTTGGTTTTATCAAACGTAGTAATATATTAGATAGGCTCATCTAAAACAGGCATGAACTAGTTTCGTTTGCGTTTACTTCATCGGTGTTAAAAACCTCAAATCAGTTTATATGTTGCTTTGCTCCTACAGTGTCCAACAAAGCCATAGTCTACTGATAAATAATATAAGCAATAAAAGATCAGAAAACTAATCTAATCGTCATCAAAACACAAATGTAAGTGAAATGAAAAGTGGCTCAAAAGCGGTTACCTTCGATTTAGTTGGTTCGCGGAGTTGAAGAAGATGGAAGGTTGCACCAGTAAAAATCTCACTACGAACGTCATAACTGCCAATCGCAAAAACGGCTGACACGATTCACAGTGACTAGGTAGAAATCGAGTAATTAGTTCTAATTACTGTATATCACAATATTGATTTATCTTCTCTTCATCGCTATTATGCACTTCTTTCAAAGCACTGACTAGACATTTGAGAGTTACAGGAGTTTTCAAAAACAGTGACATCTATCTTGTCGTGTGTATTCTGAATTAGTATACTTAGTTCTAACAAATATCTGGACTGAGATGTATTGAAGAGGTGTTTTCTGACGCTCTGTTGGCAACGTGATTTTAACACCATTCAATCGAGGTAATATCGCAGATAATTAAATGAGTAATAAATATAAGGCCGTGGAGGTGAGGCTCAAAATAGGTCAAAACCAGACATCGGTAAATTTTATCCATAAATCTCTACTGTCAACATGAAATTTGAAAATTTTACAGCGATAGTAGAGATTTGTGGATAAAATTTACGGATGCCTAGTTCTGACCCTCTAAATATTATCTTCTCCTCACCATCGACTTTTTATCGAATTTTACTTTTATCATCAACGGTTTTTATCAAAACCGTCAAGGAGAATAAAGTATTATCTTATTTTGAACACAAATAAAAACTACAGGTAAATCAATAAAAAACAGAAATGAGCTAAAAAGTACCGAAAAACAGTTTACACTATTCATTCTTCGATGCGAAACCGAAACAACTACTGTTCAACTTGCGAGGATCCATCATCTTCTTGTATATATGGATCAAACCACATGTTTAGCGAAATGTTAAACCCAAAAATAGATAACATGTCAGGTGAACCTAGAGCCTTTTGAGTCCGCCGCTTACTATACGGTAATGAATTTTAACTTGATTTCAGAACCAGCCTTTCTCTTGAGATATTTTTCCAAGAACGGTACAATCTCGTTTCAATGACAACATAAAAAGCTGTATGAAGTTATAGTTTTTAAAGAGCCTTTTACTGTTAATAACATTTTGGAAGTTAATAACACACGGAATGAATACAATAAAAAATAAACTTATCTGGAATCTGCTTCTACATTGAATCATGGACTGTAGTAGAAAAACTTAGAAGAGAACAAAGATATCATCGAAGAACAGAGATAAGAAGTATCATGGAAGAAATAACAGACAGATGTTCATTTATCAGTAATATGAAGATCAGAAATCGAGCTGATGAAAAAAGAAAACAACTATACTCATTATAGTAGGAAAACAATCTGACGAAAAAAGTCTTTTTCATAACTCCCAACAACAACAACCAACGGTGTCTAATCTATGGTATGTTTGATGCATAATGTTCAATTGAAAAAATGAGATGGTGCGTTTTTGAAAAGTACTTTTCAATACTATCCGTGAATTGGATGAAAATTACAATTTTCGAGATGAAAGAAAATTGAGTTAGGTAGTAGGTGGGACATACGATGTTTTATAGATGGTACAACTGTTATGCCTCAAAACTTCAGGTGGAAATGGACGTGGTTGGCAACTACAAAAATGACCAGTACAAAAAACAACAACAGCAATATGAATCAGAGGTAGATATGTAAAACGAAAATGAAACTATCAGTACATTGATAAATAACTAGTACATAACAAAAAGTAAAACGGAAAATAAAAATATTATCTTTACAAGAAAGGACTCAGGCCTTCTACTAAATTTGTTGTTTTGTTCTTATTATGCAAATGTTCCTTGATTGTTTGCGGAGAGTACAACAAATTTCATTCATTCAGACTTTAAATTCTTGTATCACTTGATTTTGCGTTCAATGCTTTCATGAATCTTTTGAAACACAAGGGTGTTATTGTTGTTGATCATCATCATTTGATAAAAAGTCGTTCTCGTCGTCAGAATGGTTTGTACTGTCTGGCTGTGGCTGTTTATACATTAAGGACGACGACGGAGAGCAAATTGTTGATGATGGGTTTGAAATTTTATCATCGTCTTCTTCCGATGTTAAATGCTTACCTTTTCCTTTTAACTTTTTTGTTGAATTCTTTAATGCTTGACGTTTATTGCAAAACCTGTGTGAAGAAACAAAAGATCAACATTTTTCTGCTTTTAACCAAAACTGTCAAGCATACTAGATATTTTTCTTACCATACTCGAATCACTTCACGATCGTGATTTAATCGTAAACTTAACGATGTCATTTCCACACCTATGGTAAATTCAACAATAATAATGACTCACAATAATTGGACTCTAAATACCTGATGGATGCGTATTGATTTCGAATGCATCATTCAGAATTTCCAGTGCCTGTGGAGTAAATGATGTTCGTCGTTTCCGTTTTTTTGCATTTAAATCAGTCATTAATTCATGCAAATTAGTAGGACCATTTTTTAACCTTAAATACCACAAAATTGCATAACTTTACATTGTGATGAGATCTTTGATTTCATACCTGTCTCCAAATTTGACTTCTGCATCGTGCATCCATTGCTCGAGAACAGGTTTAATTTTTGTTGCGCTCTTTGGTGTAATATCAAGCTTTTCAAATCTATTTAAACAGAAAGACCAAACTCATGCCCACGTTTTGGACTAGTTTATTGAATACGGAACGCACTCAAACACAGTTTTTTACAGAAAAAAAACGTTGTAATAGTTAGCCGTGTCTTTTAAGTACGGTGCGTAATCTCTCACATTATAGTGGTGAGATGAATGTTCTGATTGCGAAATCCGAGCAGGACTAGTCCATTTTGTATCTTGCAGAGCTTGTCATTTTAGTGACAAGATAATTGATTCGGCCTTAGTAAGAACTAACCTAGTAAGACATTTCTTAAAACTATCTTACCGGAATCGTGTGAGATCTTACTCTTTAAGATACGATAATATACGGTATTGATTAAGATCTGAACGAGATCTTATGACTCTATTTTCATTCACCCTTTGGTTTTGTTCTCATGTATCCATATAAATATTACCAAAAATATAAATTTTAGTGTCATTTTTCTTCAAAACTTTGCTGGTATTTGCTCTCTCGAAAATGTTCAACGACTTTTAAAAGAGTGTAGAGTGTAAGCCAACGTCCTGGAATGGACATTCAAAAATGTCAAAGTTCTATTCGCTCTTTAGCCTGTTCGACTGGAAGTTTTGATAATGTGAGACAGCAGACTCAAACTAGAATTAGGCCATATAAAAGAAATCAGCACTCGAACATATCCAGAAATTCTTAATAAACAAGTTAATTCTTACTTACTAAGATTTTAATAGACTTGCACACGAGTTTAAAGAATTTCAATCAAAGCAGTGCTGTGGCTAAGGGAGGGGTGTGTACACCCCTCCAACTTTTCAAGAAAATCTTTTCTCTTTCAAAATCTGTTTTCTCGCAACAATTTTGTCAGCGCTCTTGCCCAGATTTGGATAGCGAATCGAATCAATATTTAACGAAAAACTGCTTTCTCTTACTTTTTCTCCCAAACTGTTTGAGAGCAATAGCTTTCTCCCACGGCTTCTTCAAAGAGAAAAAAAGCTCAAAATGACAATGAAAATAATAACCAGTAGGTATAAATGAAATTATGTATTATATATGTAAATTATGTAAATTATATATGTATAAACGAAAATTGTGTTTTCTGACTTCTATGGCTATCTCTCAAAAAAATTTACACTCTTCCTGCTTTTTTCTCCCACCACGGCACTGAATCAAAGCAATCTATATCTCGGTTAGATCTTAATAAGGTCTTAGCAAAATCTTATCAAATCAATGTATGCGACTTCCAGCATATTCTAAATTAGATTTTTTTACTACAGGAGCGCATTTAAAAGGAAATTCGCATTATATTTTGTCCCATTTTGTATTTTTATATTTTGCGCCTCGGTCGCAAACATTAATTTTACATTATCTTTGAGTTTCTATCAAGGAAATAAACAGGAAAGTAAAAACGTAGCCAGATAAAATGTGTCTGCAAATTTCTGTGCAAAATCCGCAGCAGATCTGTATAAATACTGCTAGAAATCTGGTACAGATCTTTTTTACAATCTGCAGCGCTCTGTTACAAAAAAATTCCTTGAATATTGAACAAGATAATTGAAAAGTAGTTGCGCGGCAGATTCTAGAGCACATTTTTTTCTTTATGGACAAAATCATAGACGTGGAACAAAAAAGGTCTTCATGCTGATCCCTGCGTCATGCCTTACTAAGAAAAAACAGGCAAAACCCCGTTTTGTTTATTGCTGAAATATTTGAAATGTATATTTTTTCAGCTCAGAAACTTTCTTTAGTTCCTTTTAATATTTAAAGCGCGTTTGTTTACATTTAGAAGGTTTATCTTGGAAACTTTTTAAGTTCTTCTCATTCTTCATTTTGTAAAAGGCTAAAGGAAAATATATAGATGGCTGCTTGGGTGCTGATGAACAGAATCGTTTATTGGACCACGGAGAGAATGAAGGAAAAAATAAACTGGTACAACTCGTTTAGAAACGCAAACACGTTTTGTGTTTAAAAAAGGTAGTCAAAGTCATAGTAGTGAGTAGTTACAATGTATGATAGCAATTGTTGTTTTAATTATATAATTACCTGCAAATTGCTGATTGAGAGTAGGAAGGACCTCGTTGAGCACTAAGGGCTAAACCGACTTGAGTTTGTGTTAATCCCAATGCGAGTCTACGTAATTTGAATTGCTTTGCAAATTCTTTCATTTCATCTAAATTAATTCCATCCACTATTGCTCCGATTGTTTGATCTGAAATAATAAGAATGAGAATTACAATCTGATTCTAGAAACCGTTGTTTTATTTTAAAACATACTGTTTCTGTTTGGTAAGGCTGCCAATGTCGAAGCGATTGTTGGCTCATCGTCATCCACTTTTTCATTTTCACTATTATCACCATCATCATTTTCGGATTGTGTGATGTCATTATGTAGATTTTCACTCAAAATACTTTGAAAAAGAAGAACAATTAAACTATTCTACAATTTTACTTGAACTCCTACGAGCTTATCTTTAAAACTAAAGATACCTCTTTGATCTGTTATTTCTCTTGATTGTAAATGATTCTTTATTATTATCTTGAGAAATGACAGTATTTGGTATATTTTGTTGTTGCTGTTGGAGTGTTTGCAAGAGTTGAGGAGAATTCAAGACTGCTGCCTGAAATACATATGCTAGTGTAACAACTAAAATAAACAAAATTGACCTCTTTCTTACAGTTGACAATAACAGAGGATTCTCTGCTGCCGCATTGCTCAATATTTGTTGGGCACTGTTAATGATGTTTCCGTATTTAGTATTATTCGTATCTGTGTTTGAATTGAGACTCTGAGACGGCCAAATAGGTGAAACTGGAATATATAATGACGAGCGTTTCACATTGAGTTTATCGTTTTCTAAAAAGAATCTTACATAGACTTTGTAGCAATCCACTACCCGTCAATAATTGTAGTGCTGCAGCAACAGACGTTGCATTGTTTTGAGCTTCAATGGTAAATGGAAGTGTTGCTCCACCTAAACGAAATGTTTTTTTGTATTGTTTTCAAAGTGAAAAAATAATAATTACTTATTGTTGGTTACCTGCAAATAAAAGTTGTGATAATAATTGACTTTGAACATTGATTGATTGAACGTTTAAATTATTAAGTAAAAATTGTGGATTGTAATAAAGTGGATGTGTAGCTGTTGTTAGGAGAGCATTGGCATTTGCCACTTGACTTGCTGATACTATATTAATCAAAAAAAAATTATAAAATTAATACAACAAATGTAATAATAATAATCTACCTTCTGAATTATGACTAGAATATAAAATTGATGACGAAGATTTTGGCGATTTGGTTGTTACTGGTAATGTCATTGATCAACAGGTAAGTATGTAAAGCTAAACAATATACGCATATTATCATTCGTGATAAAGAAAATCGAGTAGACAACAATATGGTTCAAGGAACGGACAATGAATTTATACTCATGGAAGCTAATTGAGGATATTGCTGATTTAATATACTTTAGGTAGTTAAAAAAACTAAATGAACATCTCCATGTTTTCAGAACAAAGCATAGAGCTTACCTCTTCAAGGTTGAAAATGTTTTTTTATCTAAAATTATAAATATGACTACGATTAGTATCTTTTGAATATGTTCCCAAAACATGGTTGCACACACTCATACACAAAGAATATAATATATAATTTTCATCTTATAGTGAGCTAAATTTCTCACTTTATCAATCACGTCTACTCTTTGAAATTTTGATACTTTATGGTACAAGTATTACTATAACAAATATCTCTTGTCAATAATTATGAATAACAAGAGTTTATGATTGAACTGTATATGACATGGACAGATTTTAACGAGATCTTATTATGCTGTTATTATCTGTATATATTGTATACATATGAATTATAGATTTAAACAAGTTTCTTAATACGTAACTTTTGTTCTTTCTTCTTTTTCTTTTTTATTCAATATGTAAAAAATCAAACACAGTCTAATTTATATTCTTATCATAAGAATGTGAAACACATTTTACTTTATAAAGCTACCTATCCACCTTACCTAAATAATGCAATTTGATTCCAGTTTTCTGTTGTGTATGTGCATAAAAAGTAAAAGTAACCATCTATCTATTCATAACCAGATGTGTAACATAATTGGATCGTCGTCGTTAAACAAAAACAAAAGAAAATGGATCTATGCACGAAATAATTATGTACTAGTAGAAGAATAAGAGATATATCTTTCTTATTCTCCTTCTTTATTTTTTTTAAAAAGTAAAATAAAATAAATGAATCTTTCTAAATGGAATAGACAACAGACACAAGTCAACTATATAGACATATATTATGACAATAAGAATAAAGAACAGAGAGACGAGAGTATAAAATCAAAACAAATTAGTTTTAGTGTAAGTATACAATGAAGGAAAAAAAGTTCATTAATATTATCATTTCGAGTAAAACGGAACAACGATTTGACCAGCTAACTCTGGGGTATTACTAAAATACGCTAACACCCACTAACATCCACCAACACCTCCAAATTAAAGTCCGAGATAGACCTGTTCTTTGTCAATTAGGTAACATCAAACTAACACCGAAAAAATTTATTTCAAAGATGATTCTTTAGGACTTTTTCGTTAAGAACACCCACTAACATCCACTAATACCCACTAACATCGACGAACACCCAAACAAAGTGGCGCAAACACCCAAAATAATATGCCAGAGTAATCGCCATCCTTTTGTGAGCCTATTAGATCACTTTTGAACCCAAAGGAAACCTCACCCTCACGAAAACCAGCTTTCTCTCTGTGTATAGTAGATTTTTAGTAGATTTAGACTTTCTAAAGCATCTAAATTTATTACACAAAGCTTTTTTCTGGATGAAAAAATCTACTACATACAGACAAAGCTGTTTTTCGTGAGGGTGAGATTTCCTTTGGGTTCAAAAGTGATCTAATAAGCTCACGAAAGGATGGCGATTACTCTGGTATATTATTTTGAGTGTTTGCGCCACTTTGTTTGGGTGTTGGTGGATGTTAGTGGGCGTTAGTGGGTGTTAGCGTATTTTAGTAATACCCCTAACTCTGCTACCGGAGTGTAATTTCGTCATGTTTCTTTCGCATTTTGTTTTTCTTATAATTTCCGAACTATAGGATGCTTGGGGCTCCGAGACATCCCAAATTGAAGAGAAAAGTATGCTGCACATGTTGAAATGTTTCCGCACTCTACAAGACCTTTCATTCAGAAAATGTAATAAAAATGCAAACGCATACTTTTCAAAACTTATCGGAAAAAGTAGGTGTAGTATTTTTGTCACATTTTCTGAATGAAAGGTCTTGCAGAGTGCGGAAACGTCTCAAAATATACAGCATACTTTTCTCTTCAATTTTGGGATTTAGTGTCGACTTGTTTGGCTTAAAATGGGTAAGAACCATCTCAGTTTCCCCGGAAATTTTTCCATTGCAATCAAAGTCCAAAGTAAAACGTGCTGCTCTGTATTATCGGTATAGAACGGATTTTTCTGTAGATTAAAGTTCTGTTTTAAAAACAGTCTTGGTAGAGAAAAAGGATCTTTGCCTTAAAAAAAGGACTACTATCGACTGGTTTTTAACCTTCTTCATAAAAAAATTGTCTTGAATTTTTTCACTTCTAATCAGTAAAACAGATAGACTTCAACAGACTTAGTCAATTTCTTGACCGTACTGATTCAGTGAATCAACCGGTTTGGTATTAGTTTACTGGCTCGTTTCCAACTGTGGATTAAATGACCAAAAATATGGATTTTAAGATAAAAAAACTTGTCTTGGCTATTATGTTCGTGTCACATCTAGTGAATGTTGATGAATATATAGTCATACATCTTTAAATTATAAAGTACAACGAGAATTCTTAAGTACCATTACTATTTGTAACTTCGTATTGGTACACGCACTTTTCAAGTATATATATATATATATGTCGCATTTATCTCAATCAAAAAATCATTTGTTTTAGATCAACATTTTCAGATTCGTAGTGTCTATCTATTTTTGTCTCAATATCTACTTTATACCTACAAATTATATTATTAGGGAACGACACTCTTACAAGAACAACAAAAAAAAATTATAATCGATTCTTACTATATAGACACATTGAGACGACAATGAGGATGAGGATGATGCTATTTATGCAAATATAAACTGATAATTTATGCTAAACGTATGAGAATGAGAAAAAAAAAATCGAATACATCGACACATATAAAAAAGAACTCAAATATACTATTTTCCATTCATGAACCCAATTATGCACAATCGACAGTTCTTGTTGTCGTTGCTGTCGTCGTTGCGTTGTTCCAATATCCTTTTTCCTTTCTTTATTCTTATATTTTCTGAAATCTCTCAAAAAAAAATTTCATTATTATTATGATTATTATTATGATGATGATTATGATTATTAGAACAACTTGCTTCTCTTTTCTCTGTCTTTCCTTTTTTTTCTGTTCGCTCCTCTTTATCACAGCTCTTTATGCAGTTAAATTCATTCTTCTTCGTAGTAGTATTTTTTTTATTATCGTTGTACGTAGATTATTATTCGATTTTATCATTAACTCATAGTTTTTTTTTCTCCTCTTTTTCTTCCTATTTTTCATAATCAAAATATCTAATACGTTAATGCAAGTTGTTGAACATTTTATAACAATAAGAGCAACATTCGTTTTTCTCAGATGGTTACAAGGAATTCTGTTTTTGATGTAGAAATACTATTGAAAGGTTTAAGTTCTTTTTAAGAAAATATTCAAACACGATTTCTTAAACTACAAAATTTTATCATAAATATTTAATTTTATTGCAAAATAAACATTTTACTTAGATTTGATTAAATAGTTTTGAAGATTCTTTTAATTTAGATTTTGATGAGATCTAATTTGTTTGTCAAGAATAGTCAACTGTTATAATCTAAAAGAAATTGTTTTGTTTCGATTTCAAGAACGTTTGATCATGACATTGAGTGTTTATGTATAACTCTTAAAAAAAAATATATATTATTTTATATTTTATATCTGGTAAAGAACAAATTATATCTGCATAAAAAAAATGTTCTTAGTTTTGGTTATAAATTTATATTAAATTGAACTTATAAATAGCCTATAACAACTCGTTTACAAATTCTATATATTTTTAAAGAGAAAGAGAATATTTATTACTGATGTTACTGACACGACAATCTGATTTCTTATCTTTCATGTTCTTCTCATCTTCCTCCATTTCTGATATACCCTAAAAAGAAAAAACTTTCATTATGCGTGATTTTTACGTAGAATAATATAATGCATGCACATGCACACATTATTCAGAAAAAAAAACAGATAAAGAATTATATTTTTTTTTGATAATAAGATGTGTTTCAAAATAAATGTCGTGCGTAGTTGATAGTTTAGGCAATTTTAAATTTTTTCTTTTTCTCCGATTTCTTTCTTTTTTTTTTTGTTTTTTTTTCGTTTTGTTGTGTCCATTACTAGAGAATGTGTTAGTTTTTCTTCTTCTTTAAGTTCATCTACGTTAGATCAATTTTTATACATTATTTTATTTTCTGTACTGAGGACATTTGATGTAAAAAGTTAGAGCGTCTATATAAATTATCATCGATTCTAAGTAGATTCATATTAGAGCAAAAACTTCTGTCTTTTTTATTCTTGTACCAAGATAGACAACTATAAAAAAAAAAAAGAAAAATTCCTGTTTCTGTTTTATCTAGAAATTGAGAATAAGAAGGAATCATCAACGTCATGGATAAGATTATGTTTATCAGAGGAGGAAAAAAAAAGAATTGGACAAACATTTTTTTTTTTTTCAACAAAAAAGAAAAAAAGAAAATGGATAGAAAATATTTATGAACAAATAGAGATCATTATCATTAGAGATATATGACAATAGAAAAACGATGGGTTTTTAACAACATCGTCGATGATGAATAAAAGAAAAAAATTCAATCAATAATTAGGTAGAGAAAAACTATCTGTGCATGTGTATTTATCAATGTTCGCACGTGTGACCGATCTCTCAGCAATTATCAGTGAGAATCAAACAGAAACTGAATATGTCGGTAGATGAATATTTTTTTACATTGCATAGAACAAATTCCTCATTTTATTCGTAAAACATTTGATAGTTACGTAAAAATTAGCATCATATGCGACAGGAAGATGAGAAGGACCAATAAACGTCAATGAATATTAGAGCATGAAATTGACTGCTTTAAAGTCTAGTATGTCATTTGAACGAAGTTGAAAATGAAAAACGAATTGAATAATTGTATGTGGATGAAAATAAATAAAATAATTGAATTATTCTTGTCTTCGTTCAGT